GGAGTGGACCCTGCATTTCCATCGGAAATTATTCCTAATGGAGGAATTACTCGGTATTCCATGGATAGAACATTAGACGAGTACAGGGCCGAAATATTGCAAGCAATTTCAGAAACGCATGAAAGAGTGAGGGAGTACAATTCCAGAGTGCGGGAGCAAATGAAAAAGCACTACGACAGTATGAACAAGGTGGACGGAAAAACCTTTCCAAAGTTGGGTGATCGGGTCTATGTCCTATCGCCGAATGAGAAAGCGCGAAACTCACATCCCAAGTTGGTTTGTGAATGGGCTGGGCCTTTCAGAGTAATACAAATAAGTGAGAATTCAGCACTCGTCAGCAGAATAGGTGAGAACAACGATCCTATACGAGTACCATTTGACCAATTGCGGGTGGTCCCTAAAGAGATATCGGATGAAAGAATAGACACAAAACATCAGAGAGGTTGCAAGGGTAGAAAGAAAAAGGCAAAAGTTTCGACAATTCATTGTGCACTTTTCAGAGGCGCCGTTGTGTCGAGCTCGGCCGAGAGGGGGCACCTCGAGTTCGAATGTTCCGATGGGTGCTTCAAGCAGACGAGGCTAGGAGACATAAAGGGAATCCCATTCCCAGGAGCCTTCGCGCACAGGCCAGTGGAGAATCTGTGGCGCGCATGGAAGACGGCTTCAATTTTCAACAGGACCGATATTTCTGTGGCCGAAAAGATTCGGCTACATAAGGAGAACAACGTCACGCTGGACGCTCACGCACTGGGGGCAATCCTGAAAATGGCATACGAACAATGCACAGACTGGACAGAGTTTATCTGTTCAAATCATACCGTGGCGAAACACCCTCCGATCGATGGACACCAGGTCCAGGAATTTTATGAAATTGCATTTGAGAAGGTTAAGGAGGAGCTAGACGAGGAAGCGCGGGCGTCACGGCCACGAAAACAAGGACCCGTGGGATTCGCGGCCCCGGAAGCGGCGATTCTGCTAGAGAAAGACGGGCCACGGGGGAGCCTCATAACAAAAGTGGTGAAGTCATTTGCGGCTCTGCAGGAGACTGTGGCGGGTTGGTCAACCTATGGGACATGGATCGTCGTGATGCCCATAGAACGGAGATGTGACGCTACTACAATCGAGGCGATCCTCAAGTTGGCGAAAAGCCACGTGGAAGAAGGAGGCAGGATCGTTACGGTGTGGACACCGGTTACAGCATCTACTCTAGCCTCGTGGATTTCGATGACCAGGCTGTGGTCCACCATAGACGCGACGCTGCAGAAATTCGGTGGCCCGGAGCAGGTTGTTTGCACAGCAAGCAACATTCTGTGTGACGGTAAATTATACCTCGAAGCTGGATGTCCGGAGGCCGCAGCGCAGTTTCACAGGACATACCCAGGAGTGGTGGCGGCAAAGCGGCTTTATGAAACCATATGCGCTAGGGTGCCCCAGTTCAAGCTCCCGCCGATCGAGGTGGAGCGGTCGATGAGGACATCGACTTTTGTTAGGGGGGGGCATGTCAGGTACAGGTGTGGAGGCGGGACCTACGCACCAAAGGCGACCAATGAAGCGTAAGGTACTGTAGGTCGAACCATTCGGCGGGGAACGATCGGGGGTGGTCAAAACCTTGCCAGAGGGAAACTGCGGCGCGGGTAACGCAGACCACCTTGCCATTGGCGTAAACAACTCGAGCGGGAATGGAGGCCGGGGCGCGGGAAGGCCCCTATAAAAGAACAAGGGTTGGACGGTAATTGTTACAGTTCCAGCTAATCTCTATTTTCTACTTCTTGGTTACTTCTATTTGTTCTCCCCTGGTTCTTAGGGGAGTGCGCCTCGTACCCGGTGTTTTCTCGGAGTGCCCTAGTGGTGCTCGGTTAGTGAAGGAGCCTACGTGGCTCGTGTAGAGGGAGCTGAGTACAGCTCAAGTCGAGGAGCCTGTGTGGCTGAACTGTAGAGCCTTAGTGGCTGAATTGGGGAGCCTCAGTGGCTCTGGGAGATAGGAGCCTGTGTGGCTCGGTTAGCGCCTGACTGGCGAGTATTGGGGACTTTTTGTCCTGAGGTTAAGTTCCGGAGAGGTTGCGCCGCGCACCCTACCGTGCCCGCTCATTTGGTCGCCGTCGACTTCAACCCGCCTCCGCTATTGAATAGCACGTTTAAATCATCAAAAAAATGATGTAGGGGCTCTCTGCACCGACGACA